ATCAAAATTATGGATCTTTATTCAACTAAGGTTACTGTTTACAAAGTTAATAACACAAATGCCAGAGCTGGAGAGTCTGTTTCCAACACTTAAGGGATTAATAATTAGACTATGTGAGGAATCCCCGACAATCAACAGGGAGATACATATGAGAATTGGCCCAACAGGAATATGGATGTATTGTATTCTGTATGTTAGTAAATTTGGTCTGTGTTGGGCAAATTCATTTTATGGATAAGAAATTTAGTCTCTGAGGGCAAACTAACCTATTATTTGTTGATGAGGTGCTCAGAAATGAAAAATCTGTCAAATCCATTTATTGTAAAGGTAGCCCAGACACTGAAGACCAAATTGTGGGCAGTGGGCTCAGACACCACTTGCTTGGGATAAGTCTATTGTGTATTGCGAAAGTCCCTTCTGTGAATCAAGGTCTCAGTTACTTTCGAAGAGAGCAAAAATTGCTCTATGGATTAGGATTTACCTCTGAAGATCTTAGCATTCCTGTTTTGTAAAAGCCATCTCAGGCAGTCTACTGGTGGGAAAATTAAGGGGCTGGTTTCACTGGGGAGTCAGACAAGGATGAGGGCTGAAGTCAGAGATGAGACGGAATGATGCCAGGGAAAAGGGTCCCATGACAGGTGGCTAGATGTTGAGCACAGAGGAGAAAAAGTAAGAAAACCTGAAAACGTAGGGTCGACATGATGGACTGTGAAGGGTAATGACATCAGTGACGGTGGGGGAATACAATGTTGGGCGTTTGAAGGATATGAGGTTAAGGAACTAGAAGATGGGCCGGGCGTGGTGGCTCACGCCTGTAATTCCAACACTTTGGAGGCTGAGGCGAGCGGATCACGAGGTCAAAAGATCGAGACCATCCTGGTCAACATGGTGAAACCTGTCTCTACTAAAAACATCAAAATTAGCTGGGCGTGGTTGTGCGCGCCTGTAGTCCCAGCTACAGGCTGAGGCAGGAGAATCGCATGGGGAGGTAGAGATTGCAATGAGCCGAGATCCCGCCACTGCACTCCGGCCTGGCGACAGACCGAGACTCTGTCTCAAAA